TTCATGTAACGAAGCAGAGATAGAAAGCCCCAGCCAGATGAACCTCCTAGTAGGTCTCTCTGATTTTGTGAGAGGCATCTTCAGCATTGTCCCCAGTATGTTCACTAGGTAAGGAGGGACATGACCCTCTCTGTGCATGGATTTCAAATACTGTGCTTTCTGGGGCCAGAAAGGGAGGGCTGCTGATAGGGATCTTTGCTGTGCTAAGGGTGGGCTGACCTCTCTAGATCTGTGGCAGCTGTCTCATGCACAGCTCTGTTCAGTTCCTGTTGAGTGTCGCTGATGCCTTTGTGCCTTTGTCTGTTTTCTCTGTCCCTGCTGTTTCTAACAGTTACACCTACGACCACAACAAGCACAGCAACCCCATCAACAGAACTGACAACCACTCCCTCATCACCAGAGACTCCCACCAGCACCACCCCCACCGCCAGCCCTCCAGGCACAACAACCACTGGTACTGGAACAACAACAACCATCTCAACTCCTGCAAGTATGTTCCCAAAGCTAGAAATTCCCATAAAAAACCCTCTGCCTCTGACTTCAGTAACAACAAAAAATTCTTCAGATTTTTGCCATTTTTGTTCATGTGATGGGAGTGACTACATCCATTTGGGGCTCTGTGTGGGAGAGCTTGCTACCCAGCTAACACAAGTGCTGGACTGATGGCAAGTGCTGCTTTTGCAGCTGTTGGATTGCATCCTTCAGCTGGCCAGAATATAGTCACTGGACCCATGATGTGCAGTTGTACAGTGCTTTGGTTTATGGCACTGGCACTTTAGGCACTGTTTTAGGCCCAGTTGTGTAGACTTTTTACCTCTCCTCCTTCTTTGCCCTGTCCGTTCTAATGCTTGTCAGTGGTTCTAGGTATAGGAAGGAAGGATTCTCATGCCATGCTTTTGGGAACTGTTTCACTCTGCTATATCTTGTGGTGAAGTGTGGTGTTTGGCTGATGAGATCCAGTAGTACTCTGGGAAGCCATTTATCAGGGTGAGCTTGGAATAGTACATGACGATAAGGCAGAATCATATTCTGGTGCATGTTTAATTTCCGTACCACACAATCCCCTCAGCTTTTACTCCATGAATTAGCAAGGTGTTCAGGTAATGAGGCAGAGAGAGAAAGCCCCAGCCAGATCCAAAGTATTACTCCTGCTAATATTTTCCCTGCTGGAAGGTCTCTCTGATTTTTTAAGAAGCACCTTCCAGCATCCTCCCCAGTCTCCTTGTTAGGAGAGGAGGGCCATGGCATTTTATATGCATGGATTTCAAGGAGTCTTCTTTCTGGGGCCAGAAAGGAAGGGTCCCTGCTAGGGACCTTTGCTGTGCTATGGGTGGGCTGACCTCTCTAGGTCTGTGGCAGCTGCCTCATGCACAGCTTCTGCCTAGTTCCTGTTGAGTGTCACTGATGCCTTTGTGCCTTTGTCTGTCTTCTCTGTCCCTGCTGTTTCTAACAGGCACACCTCCATCCACTCCGAGCACACCAAAACCAACAACCACTCCCTCGACACCGGAGACTCCCACCACCACCACCACCACCCCAACATCAACTACTGCTACTGTATCAACACCCACCACAACTACTGGAAGCACATCCTCACCCACACCAACATACACCACCACCCTACCAACTCCAAGTATGTGTCTGGCCTGTGCTGTTGTTTGTTTCCTTCCTGTGGTTGCCCTGAAGGTACATGAGTACCTGAAATTGTGCCTCCT